GTCATTTGCATTGCATGCTGAATTTAGCAGCTTTGCTACCCAGGAAGTATTGAAAATGAGAAAGGAAAGATCAAAAATGAAGTATTGTCACGAATATCACTAGCAGCAAGAAGGCCGGACAAGACTCAAAAATGCAAGAGGCATGCTTAATGAAACAAACTATGGCCCAATGCAGCTAATCTTGACCAGGAAACAGTACTATTAACCATTTAACCATAAGGAAAACAGGACTATTGCTGTTATTTAATAAAAGGTATTCATGAGAAAATGTCAAGATTAAAACTTAGTAAAATAATCTTATCAAAGATTAAACTATATGAAGTTGGCTACTTGCATCCAAATTATATGAAAACAAATTTTTTTAGTTCCAATTTTTAGTCGTTACCTGGATAATGAAAACACCAAATGGAAAACGAGAGCACTACAAGATATGGAACATGCAATTTTATTTTCTTTGGTTAGATTTATTCACATACCCTTCCATTCTTTGGGGATCTGGAAGTAGGTCCTGTAGCAACCAGTAGGATTATCTTCAGGAACATGAGGAGGATCATTCGCGAAAGGGTACACAATATTCGTGTAGATAGGACGATCAAACCCATGACACTGCCAATTGGAAGGAACTGTAAAACCAAGGAAGCAATTCAAAATTTGCTAGAGACCAGAAGATAATTAACAGAACCAACTCTCAGGTTCTGTTATACGAGTGACGCTTACAAATTGTAATAACCAGAAGATTATTAGTGGAACCAACTCTCAGGCTACACAATTATAACACACTTGAAGATCATCAAATCTACTGTTAAAATTTAAACAGAAACTAACCGGGCAAAGCTTTCCAATCAGAATCAGGAAATGCAGCATCATAGAATTTCTCTGGAACATTTGCAGGGCTAGGAGCCAAGAAAAACTTCCAGTAACCAGACAAAGACTTGACAAACGGCAACCCCTCCACCCAAAAAGCAGCGCTATCAAGAGCACCTTGAACCGCATCATCGTTCCAAACAGCAGCTTTCGATACGGTGAGATCAACGTTATTCCGCTGATACCAGTACCTCAAAGACCCTATACAAATGAATATAAAAATCTGAATGCCATTATACTCTCCACTGAGTCAGTACTCAAAAACAAGCTAAAACCACACTCAAATGTGTGAGAGATGAACTGCAGCTATACAGTATCTGAAAGATCCTAACTTTAGATATCAGCAGCGATAGTGAAAATGAGTAGGAAACTAATATGGATTAAGTGGTAACACCAGAAGGATTTCAATTGGAAAAGGATCCAAATTGCTATTGAAACCAATTAGTAATTGAGATTTTTCACAAGAAAGCAGGAGTTTTTAGGGTTTATGGTAATTAACGATTACCTTCGACGGAATCATGGCAACGCAAGGTGACATGAGGATCTCTCTTGCGCCACTTGAAAAGGGTTTGATCTTCCCAAACTCTATAACCATTTTCAGAGGGAAGAATCATTTGGGTCGCTAGAGAAGCCATGTTTGCTCTCGAAGAGAACAGAGGAGTGAGAATGGTTTCGAGGTAAGGTGGTGAAGGAAGGATCAAAGGTGATCCATTTGTCGATT